GAGATCCGGTCTCTGGAAAACCCGACTGTAAGTGTTTTTGAACTTTGTAAATCACACCATTGGAAAGAGCGCATACGAAAACCTAGGAAAATAGGTTTCGTAGGCTTTCAAACTGCTTCTAAATCAAAAATCCTAGTGCTTACGTGAGGTATGCTCTTTGGAAAACATTTAGCGGAGAAAGAAATGTTTTTTTCTCGGTAATAAAGCGTCCAAGAAAAATTTTCTTTTCATGAGTAGATGGAGTGGAAGGTCTAGTTTTGTACTGTGTATAAAATTTGCAAACGTCGTACTTTGTTTCGACAAAAATAATTTTTTTATCTTTATCGCTCTGTTTTCCGACAAAATTTGATTCACTCATTTTTCGCTAATTATGACACCTAGAAAAAAACTTCCAAGGGCAAAAAGATAGAGCGTTTGCCCAAGTATGTTCTGCTATTTGAATTTGTCAAAAGCCCACTTTCGTTTTTCCACCTAATGTCCACATGGTTGCCCACTGTGCGGTTTATCATAACGATAACGGTTATCATCCTCACAACTAGTGCGAACGCCGAGATAATCATCTCCCAAATATTTCAAAAACTCACTCTACCCTTCTGGATATATGATCATATGTTTAACAACGGCAATTTTAGACGTGACACGAATACATTTCATACGAATGTCGCCTTCATCAAATACCAATGTGATCAAATTGTATTAATCGCGAGTTTTTGCCTTTAAGAGAACATATATTAGGGACTATCTGATCTGAATAAAACGTTTCATTTGTATATGCATCCTTCTTTTCGAGGACTGCGAAGAACTGAAATGCTAAAGATCTCGAAAAATTTATTCGATCAATTCTCTGAAACTCTTAAAAAGGCGTTGAAAGCACATTTTCATGTTTGATTCGTCTCACTTTGGAATTTTCGAAGGGACCAATGGAATATTCTACCCGCTAATTCTTCTATATAATGAATAGTTCAATTTCACTTCGTTTTCGAAGGGACCATAGAATGCAGCCAGAGTACAAATGATTTAGGTAGAGCAGTTTTTATGAGACGAAAGAGGAGAGAGTATAGTACCGCTATAAAGATCATAGTAGTAGAATTTTACCAAATTCCCACACTTTGATTTTATTATTCGAGCTTTCGAAAGCTTCTGCTTTCATCTTCAGGAAAAAACAAAATGACATCACTATTGAAAAATAGGTTCAAAGTACATAAGAGAGGGAGATAAAGAACAATGATGATTTGTATTCTTATTGAAACGGTCAACGGACATATTTATTCGAATAAATATTTTTCCTGAAGATGAAAGCAGAAGCTTTCGAAAGCTCGAATAATAAAATCAAAGTGTGGGAATTTGGTAAAATTCTACTACTATGATCTTTATAGCAGTACTATACTCTCTCCTCTTTCGTCTCATAAAAACTGCTCTACCTAAATCATTCCTACAAACGACTCGCTCTCGGTACGGCGACGTTACATTTTTAACAATTAGACAACTCGAGAAACATGTCATCAACTTACAAAAGTGTAAATGTGATATTGAATTCATAAGAACCGCTCTACTATACAATCTAACCTCAACCTTTATTAGTATCAGCCTCAAATCTCATCTTCAAAACTCATCCTTGAAACGACACTGCCTTCAATATGAATTTAAACTACCTGTCAAAGATTTACATAAACATCAAAATGAAATCGACAAACTAATATCAACGGTGAAGTCAAGAACAAGCTACGTTGATTTCAAAAACTTCAACAGTATTTCCATGAAAGTGCACAACGAGTGAAACAACGAACAGCAGAGATCCACACAAAGAAACTGAAGAAATTAAACAAAGGTCCAGTCGGCCAAAATTATGAAGTGATGAAGAACAAAATCGTCCATAATTTATCCTCCTACGAACTTTCTCCTGCTGAAGAACGTCTTCTTTGTCGTGGATACCAATTTTGCATTGAAAACAAATTAACAAACCACATTGATTTTAAAGCCGACGTTGAATGTAATGTCCTGAAGTTCGAAAACCACTGTCATTCTTCAGTCTACTCTACTTTCTGTCATTACCTTCATGACTATTCTCAACATCTCATTCAATCAGTCAAAAAGAAATCAGTAAGAAATATCAGTGATGAAGAATTTGAAGCACTTCAGTCTTTGAAAAGTAATTCCAACATCATAATTTGTCGTGCTGATAAAGGAAACGCCATCGTCATCTTGGATAAAAATGAATACATTAATAAAATGAATCAGATTCTTTCTTTGAAACAATTTAAGCCTACTTCCAAATCTCTGCTAATAGAAAAAGAAAAAGAAATGAATGAATATCTACGTTAATCTCTATGAAACTGAACAAGCAATTGATGAAAAAAATTTTTGGAAAATAAGGTCAAGTTGTTCGTCTCTCTTCACCCTCTATGGTCAACCAAAAATACACAAAATCGGTTATTCTATGAGACCTATCATCTCTGCCGTCTCTTCCTACAACTACGAACTGTCGAAATATTTAGCAAATGTAATCATGAATAATAGAACAAAACATTCGTTCTCCTATGTCAAAGATTCATTTACTTTCGTTAAAAGAATTCTAGGAATGAAAACAAGCAAAAATCAAGTTTTAATAAGTTTTGACGTCGACAATCTTTATACTAATGTACCAGTGAACGAGTCCATAAAAATTGCTTTAGATATTGTTTATAAACCAAATCAAGTACCTAACACAACACTGAAACGACACCAAATGAAGAAACTTCTTGAACTTAGTGTTTGCAATGTTCCTTTTCGTTTCTTAGAAAAGAATTTCGTGCAAATGGATGGGGTTGCAATGGGCAATCTCGTCGCTCCACTGCTGACAGACATATTCATGTCAAATTTAGAATAGAACGTAAACCGATTTTCAACAAACAAACCTCTATTCTGGCTGAGATATGTGGATGACATTCTCTGTGTTTTCAAAATCAGTCAAGACATCGATGACTTTTTGAAAAGAATATTCATTTTACAATTGAAATAGAACAAAATAATCAATTAAATTTCTTAGATGTGTTAGTTTGTCGTGATCCAACTACAAACAAGTATAAAACAACCATCTATCGAAAAGCAGCACACACTAACCTCTATCTCCAATATGAAAGTAATCAGTGCCGTAAATATAAACTTGGCCTGATACGTACTCTAGTCATCCGAATTCTATTAATTTGTTTAAATCCTGACGATTCCAAAAACGAATTGAAACTACTATCCGAAGTTCTACAAATGAATGGTATCCAGAACATTTGGTAAAACGAGAAATTTGGGAGGGAGAAGTGATAACAAAAAAAATAAAAGATAAAAACAATAATAATGATCAAACGACTCAACAACAGCAACAAACAACTAAAAAGAAAACAGTCTTCTTCACTCTTCCTTACTATGGGCTCGAATCAACAATTCTCGGCTCGAAAATCAAGAAAATCTCTAACAAACTCCTTCCTCATCTTAACGTCATTATTTCTTATAGGAAAACCTTCACCTTAAAAAGTGTATTTCTGCCTATTCAAAAAGGAAAAGATCTCACAAAATTAAACAAAAAACTGGTGTATAAAATTCCCTGTACTGACTGTAAAAAAAGTTATTTTGGTGAAACTGGAAGAGAGAAACAGACCCGCATGACAGAACATAAAAGAGACATTCGAAATATGATTGCAAATTCGGGAGTAGCACAACACGTCCTACATTTCAATCATAAATTTGATTTTACAAAATGTGAAACTTTGTCTTTGGAATCCGACTGGTGAAGACGTGTGATAAAAGAAGCATTGTTTACAAAAGAAAGTCATGGACACTCTCTGAATGAAGTTAAACATTGATAAAGAGTATTTTTAAATCGCTTAACTTTCACTTCTATCTCTCCATTTAGGAGAGTTTGGGGGGCAAATAATGTTCTTCGAACATATTTATTCGAATAAATATGTCCGTTGACCGTTTCAATAAGAATACAAATCATCATTGTTCTTTATCTCCCTCTCTTATGTACTTTGAACCTATTTCTCAATAGTGATGTCATTTTGTTTTTTCCTGAAGATGAAAGCAGAAGCTTTCGAAAGCTCGAATAATAAAATCAAAGTGTGGGAATTTGGTAAAATTCTACTACTGTGGTCTTTACAGCAGTACTGTACTCCCTCCTCTTTAGCCAGAGTACACCCTAAAACTGGTACTGAACAACGTTATTTCTCCACAAAATATACGGAATATCGAGTGCTACTTTTTACAAATTCTGATGCGTCTTGAAGCTGATTTACTTGGCTAGAGGAAAGATTATCCTCCGCGTGCACTTTTTTCGCATTTTATTTCAGAGTATCATTAGACTCTTTCGGACATCGAGAGTGTTCAATTTATCATGGAAGGAAGGATAAAGGTCTCAAGAACAACATGTTATGAACTGAGAATCACGAGGAAGTGCCGGTAATTCGTAGTTCGAACACATGTTTCTTTCACATTTATTTATAACTTACAAGGTTGGACAGATCATATCAAGATACCTAGAGAAATTTGTCTTTTAACGCTTCTGACGTGAGTCTAAGTTATGCCTGACCCAGCAACAAGAATAGAAATAGAGCAGAAGCAAGTCTTTCTTTATTAAAACAAAGGATAAAATATGCAGAACAATGAGATGTGATGACTAGGTCAATTTGTCGTTTAGGAACATCGTACATTTGACATTGTTCGAGATTAGAGTCAACCAATTTTTGCACAAAACATAATTCGAATTTCTAAATGCGGATTCGTTAGGCACTAGGAGTGTGACAGTTCAAGCTTATGAGCTGTCCTAAAGAGCTGGTTAATCAGTTTGTTTCAAATGAATTTGATCTGGTGTACCAGCTGTCGTTCCTAGAACTCATATAGAACTGTCATATCCCTAAAAATGAATTCAACAAAACAAATGACAACATCTAATTTGGATAATAAATCATTTGAAATTAACGACAAAAGTCAATGTTTCTAACATTTGAATTGTGTTGTGTACGACCATATTGTCATTTGTGCACTCGTGTCACTGTGGCTACTGTACCCGTCATCCTGTCTGTTTCCGTTATTGGAACTACTCGTCCACGACTCCGTCCCCATTTGATCACGTGCATAAATTCTTGACGAAATAGAGGACTTGTCAAACAGTGTAAATAGAAACCTATGGTGTAGCTGATGCCGGCCACAAATGTACATATGGAAAAAAGTTCCAGTTGTTGTGTTTGTGTCATTAATGAACGAAGTACAGTTGGTTGCAAGATATTATACAAGCCTACAGGTACAGTAGTAATCGCAAACAATGTAATACTGGTGAGCATAATCAATAACATTTGCTTGTCAAGATAAGCACGACGCCGGGAACGTGCCCTATCTTGAACGATAGAATTTCGAGCCAAACGCCGAAACGTGTCAAGAGAGAAGATGAGCAAAAGAATAACGGGAATAAGAGTTTGAAGGCACGAGAAGAGAATAGGCCAAGTTCGACGGAAAAATTGGAAATAGTTGGGATTCACCATACTGGCACCACATACTGTCATAACACCTGCTGGCAATCGTCCGAATATTTGAGGTACAAGAAAATGACCATTCAAACCAGCAGCAGCGATAAGTATGCCTATTATTACCAAGAGTGCATTTCTTCGTGTACACTTTTGTTTTGATTTGAATGGAAATCGTACGCGTGCCCATCGATCAGCCGAAATTGTTACGAGTAACCATGCGTTACAACACATGAATGTTGATTGAACAAATGTACGAAGACGACATGTAGCCGATGGATCTGCCGATGAATCAGGTCGTCGAAAACCCGTATTAATAAAATCATAGATACTGACGAGAAGATAGACAGAATCAGAGATAGTAAGTGCAATGAATAGACAACTGGTCGATACATGACGAAGAGTAGGTCGAAGAAAGATGAGCAAACTGCTTGTATGACCAACGATGGCGAGAATGTAGAGTAGAGGATAGCCATATAGTGCAACGTCACTTTGTAAGGTGGTTAAAGTTGGCATTCCCGGTGGATTCGGAGGCCCACCGCCGCCGCCCGGTGGCGGTGGTCGAGAAACGTTCATCGTCAATGGGGTTGGCTCTGCCTGGAAGTTTAAAATGAGAGAACGATGATTTGAATGAATTATTACGTGGTAATCTGCTAGTGACAAGTTGTCTGCTTCTGAAATGTTGTTGTGTGTGTGACAGAAAGCATGATGAGCCTTTCTCTCTTCTGCACATGAGGGCATAAGTCAAAAAAACGACCTCATTCAGATTAAGTTCGCCCACTTTGCATTGAGGATGTAGAACAGGGGTGGCACATTACAGCACAAATATTGTATATATTCCTATTACTGGTAATAGTAATCTTCCATGTATTTCTATTACTAGTAACAGTAATACTGAACAGTATTCCTGTTCCCGACAACAGTAATACTTTTAATACTTTTAGTATTACTGTTGCTGGGAATAGGAATA